TTTTAAATAGTTAAGATACTTATAGATACCGGAAATGAAAAATTCTGACTCCTCACGTGTTCCACGACCGGTCCAAATGAGATCTGTCAAACTCGGCTAGTAAATATTAAAATGGTTTGCCATACATACGCAGACTTAAAAGTTTAATGTTTTGGGGACATAACAGTGGAATCATCAATGCAAAAAAACCCAAACACTTTAGGTGACAGAGTCTTGGGGATTAGATAAAGCAAAACCTGTACGGTAATGAGAATAAAACTATTTTAAAAAGTCCCTAAGTAGCATTAAAGCGCTTTTTGTAAACACAGCTGCAATGCAACTGTGTTGTTTTTAAACATCTGGAATTATTACACCAAAGTAATGGAAAAGAGCCAAAAAAAAAAAAAGCGTACAACGTTTAAATTAACGTAGCATCTCTGACAAGCTCTACTGAAGTCACATTCATTAAAACAAAGGCAACACTGCAGGGACTTCGTCATACAGGCCTTCTATTTGCACAATGAGGCAAAAAGGTCTCGGAAACGCAGCACTTCTAAGATACTGAAGGCGTCTTTCCAAAGCAGCTCGGGTGCAGGTTGGCACGAGTGTTTACGAGAAGGTAATCGGCACTTTCATTACTGGAGTTTGCGATGGAGTAAAAGCTTCCACTGGAACTCAACTGCGTCGAAGCAACAACAAATATTAGTTACTGGTTGTATCTCCAGTTCCATGAGCAGCTTCGGAGGTTTGTTCTTTTGGACTTTGTGGTGAATTTTACAGTATCGACTCCATTATCAGAGAGGTGAAGACTTCTACTTGGCTTGGGTCAAGCTTGTTGTCTTCTCCAAGTTTACCCGACAACCAGCGTCGGGTGCTTTTTCTGCAAGAGGTTCTACAGGTGTGGTACCTGCAGTTGGAGGTTGGGACCACCCTACAACAGCCCTGCAGTGGAAAATGACCCTGAAATACCTGCAAATGGGCCTTGGTCATGAACTTCTGTACGGGTTAAAGCCGGTGAGGTCAGATCTCATGCTCTGTTCAACAGGTTCAGGGGGTCACCTGGTTCTTCTCTTGCTGTCACACGGAGTGAGCTCATCTGTGCTGCACTCTGTAACGCAGACCTCCCACAACAGCAGCTGCAACATATTTCTGACAGTACGAGATTCCTTTGACTCACCCCTTTGACTCAAGCTGTGAGACAAAATGCGAACCGGGAGATGCCGCTTCTTACAGTTTGTTGTCGTGATCCTACTGGGAGTGGCGGAGTTTAAAAGTTTTTGTTGACAGTGCTACAGTCTTGATTGCATGAATTTCCACCCTTTAAGCGAGGTGTGTGGTGGAATCCCTTTGTTTCCTCTGCCTCATTTCTGTGGTTTCCAGTGGCCCATCATACTTTCACATCAACCCGAGTTTAGATGCTGAGAAAACCCCCAACCACGCTGTAAAACCCCTCCGGGGCCAGCAGAGGCCCCACGCAGACGTGCCCGGGCATGCACCTGCCAAGCCCTGCAGTTCGCTTTTTTTGCTGCTCGGCTGCTTCGTCTCGTTCCCTGCAGCGGATTCCCCCGGCATTCTGCCTCTCTGGAGGTCTCTGCGTCTGCCGCTGCCGAGACACGTCGCTCGTAGCTTCCGAGAAGTGAGGCAAAGCAGGCAGGATCAGCGCGGCGCACATGTTGTCGGCATGCATGCGTCTGCGTGTGCGTCTGTTTGCACAACGCGCCTCGCGGGTTAAGACTCTCATTAGCACCTAGCCAAAAAGATATCCCTTTCATCTCATCTGTCCATACGGATCAAGCGAGGCACATCCTCTGCAAACAAAGACAAACAGGCTGGCAGATCCGCAGAATGCAGTCTAAACATGCTATGTCCACCACAAAGTCTCATGTGGTTTGCTAATTGATTCCATCAGAGAGCCCGGTGTTGTCAGCGCGGTGGTCTGAGCGCATAGATGTCTGCGCAAAGCATCATCCACTCGGGTCCATCCCGTGCCTGAGAGATTAATGGGCAGCAACCGAGCTAGCAGACAGTGTAATTAAAGGTCCTTAGTCACTCAGTCACCAGACGGAGTGAAGTCAGCAACGCTTGAACTCGGGGATGTTGGTGGGATTGCGATTGGCAGATGAGCTAATGTGGCTCCTCTCGCTTGGGTAAACTCGAGACAAGAACACGAAGGGAGATTGATGATCAGATTACCGGCCCTGCATGGGAACTTGAAATTGAGAAAATAAGAGATGGACATGAAAGAGAAGAGGCTCATCTCGCTCCGTGCGTTTGATAGTGTCTTAATAGTTTACACATGCTGGAGGTTACCTGAGAATTGTTTGTTGTGTATCAGTGTCACTCATGCCAACAACACAAGCCAACTGTGGGATCATCGTATGTCATTAAAACCCAGCTGTAGAAGTGAAGCAGCTCGTGCTGATACCTGGGAGGAGGCTGCCGTAACAATGCTCACCTGAGATCAAAAAACAGCCCAGGCGGGGTGGAGGGCTTTTGAAAGCTTGTGGTGGGGGGAGGAGGGAGGGAGGGAAGGGTTTTGGTGGCGCACAAGAGCTGTGAACTTATCTGAGGGGGGATTTTTTTTTTTTTTCCACCGTGACTTCAATGGCTTGACTTTTGTGTCGGGGTGGGGCGCCGCGCTGCACTCATCTGTCAGAGTCAGGGGCTGCTGTGATTGGGTTGCACCCTGCGGGGGTCCTGAGGTCATCCTGGAGTGGCGCTCTGATCTGATCAGCGCCAATTGTTCGGTCCGCGATCCTCTCATGGCCTCCAGCGCCACGTTGTCCAACCGGACTGAGAGCTGGAGAAGCTGCACAATCTTCACAGCCCTGCAAAGTCTCATAACGTATATTGTTAAACATGTTTCTTCAGGTGAAATCTATATATATATATATATATGTGTGTGTGTGTGTGTGTGTGTGTGTGTAATCTCAGAAAGGAATAAACAAGAGAGTCTGACGTCCTGCAGCTTCTGGAAGCAACAGTTGTGTTTGAGCTTGTCATCACAGAAAGCATGTCAAAACACGGGCACGGCAAACATGTTTTCTCGCTCTCTTTTATTTCAAATGAAATATAAAGCAATTAAAATTAATTACCTGAATGAAACTATAATGGTTCCTGGCATCACAAGGTGATCCCGGCTGTCTCGCTGCAGTGATTAATCCCTGCTTAGGCACATCGGCATCTGGTGGATAGCTTCAGACGCGTCACTTTTGTCCGTCATCGACGGCGCTCGGCTGCTGTTGCTCTCGAAACGTCAGCTCCAGAGGAAAACCACAAATTAATGATGGAACTGCAGGGGCAGGTGTTTTTCAGACATTTGAAATTGCATGAGGGGGCTTTTCCCAAACTCAGTAGACAGGTTTGTTGTGCGTTATCGGTTAGATCAGCAGATCCGTGCATGCTAACAAGTGGGAACACTTTGAAAAGTCAGTACTAATAGCTTGTATCCCTGCCCTGAAGTGGGCCTATTAGCCTCCTCCCTGCTGCTGGAAAAGAGGGAGAGAAAATAAACAGGAGCTCTTAGTATAAACTACATTAAGCAGATAAGTCAATAAAACTCTCAAGTATGAATCACTGTTCTGTCACCGGGCTTCGCTTACAGTGAGATTAATGAACACGGCAGCGATCTGCTCTCGTACAGCAGGTTGCTGTTCGCCGAGGCCTCGCTGGCAGGTCGCCGTCGTTTTCCAGCTATTGTGGGGTTTGAGTTCGCAGAGGGCAAATAGTTCTACCCCAGCATTCAGCAGAACTTGGTATATAGCACCTGAGTTGTTGGACAATATGAGAAGAGTATGCAAGATCATTTCCTGCAAACCCTTTTCGTTGAAATATCGAAAGAAGCCACATGTTGAACACTTTTAAAACATGAGTTGCAGAACAAAAAACATCTAAAATTGGCAGAATGTGGATATTAATAAGAATATTTTTGGTTAAAGATTACAAAATCATCCAATGTTTTTCAGTATGTTTCAGCTACATATACAATGCAAAATGAGGGAAAAAATGAGATGAGTCAAATCAACTTATCTTTTCTAGTGGAATTAATGTTCATGAGTTTTGCTAATTTCTAGTTAACTGAACTCAAATTTGTATTTTCAGACGACTTTCGAACTTACACAAAATCTTATAAATTGATGCATCTGCTGAGAGTTCACTGAACTTATTTATATATTTAGTTTATGAGAGACAAAACAAGTGGATAAGCAAACTTCCCAGAATGCATTGTTGGACAGTTAAAACTGCTCAGGCACTTTATTTTTTTTTTGTAGTTTGAGATAACGGACATGGAGAAAACTTGCTGTGTGTCTTTGTAAAATTAAGTTTTGTTAGTTTTCTTGCATAGCATTAAAAAACAATTCCAATATTAACTTGGGTTGTTACTGAATTCAGGCCAGAATTACCCAAAAGCAGCTTTACAGACTGTCTTGATTCTGGTCAAAGGAGCAGCTGTGACTCTATGTTCAACACATTAAATTATAAATATGTAAAAACAGGTGAAGTCTGTCTGCAGCCAGTTGGTTCAACTTCATATTTTAAGTTTGTAGAATTTAATTTCTCAAGTCCAGCTGAGTTGCACCTAAGCTCTTAAGACAAATCTGAAGTAAATAATCAACCAAACTCACGTTTCTAAGACAGCAGGGGCGCTTTACGCTGAATCCACTTGAAAATGATCCACAGTCTGTTTTAGAGAGTGCCTAAAAAAGTACCAGGGTTCAATATTACCTAGGTTTTTTTCTTTTTTCTTTCAAAATCTAGTTTTATTCTGCACTTGTTCTGTCTTGCAGTCGGCTGATCAGTCATCTGTGAAGCGCTTTGAACTGAACTAACCTGTATGAGAGGTGCCATATAAATAAGGTTTGACTGACTGATTGATATGAAGCCTAAGAAGTGCAATTAAAAAAAAGTCAAGGTCAACGTGAGCTAAATCGAGCGTGTTTTTTATATTTGCAGTGATGCCTGTTTGCTGTGCTGCAGATCTTTAATGCACCCCCCCCTACCCTCTCTGTGACGCAGGTCCCTGGCCCTGGGGCAGCAGTACTCGTCTCTGGGCTCCCAACCCATCCTGTGCGGCTCCATTCCTGGCCTGGTGCCCAAGCAGCTGCGTTTCTGCCGCAACTACATCGAGATCATGCCCAGCGTCGCCGAGGGTGTCAAGCTGGGCATCCAGGAGTGCCAGCACCAGTTCAGGGGCCGCCGGTGGAACTGCACCACCATCAAGGACAACCTGGCCATCTTCGGCCCCGTGCTGGATAAAGGTAGATATTCAATCTAATCTTGATATAAAGAGATTAAAATGCCAATTTCTGCCAACTGCCAACAAAGCAGGCTGTGCGGCTAAGGCTGCTGGAAGCTGTTACAAAAAAACATGTGATCCTAAAAAAATCACCACAAAGTTACATCATTAAAACTAAACCAAATTTTAAAAAAGGAAAATTTGTTATATTTTCAACTTTCTAACATTACTTGAATGAATCATGTGTGACAAAGAGTTCAGTCATAAAAAATAGCCAAATCTAAGCTTAAAATTGCAATATTTCATCAATCAAGTTATCCTCACCAAAATAAAATGTTTGAATGAACCAGATTCTGTAAAAAAAACTAAAAATTCTGCTCTCCTTGGTGCATCCACAAACATGTTGGTGGCTCAGCTGGACAGGAAAATAAAATATTTATCAATAAAATATGAGATTAAAACGATCTCCGCCAGGCAACACCCAACTGTAGAAAGCAGGCCGCGCAGCTACGGCTACTGCAAGCTGTTACAAAAAACAAACAAACAAAAAAAATGCTATCTTGAAAAGAAATCACCAAAGAAACTACAAAAAATGGGTAAAAAAAAATGTTGGATTTTCACCTTTCCAACAGTACTTGAATTAATCACATGTGACAAATAGCTCAGTCAGGAAAAATAGCCAAATCTAAGCTTAAAATTGCAATATTTCATCAATCAATTTAACCTATATTTTTACATTTGCCAAAAATAAATTATTTGAACTAACCAGATTGTAAAAAAATAAAAATAAAAAATAAAAAATAAAAATCTGCTGTCCTTGGTGCATCCAAAAGCATGTTGGTGGTTCAGCTAGAAAGGAAAATAAAATATCTGTTGATAAAATAGAAGATAAAGGATTTCCGCCAAGCAACAGCCAACTGTAGAAAGTACGCTGCACAGCCAAAAAAAAAAAATCTAAAAAAAAAAAACACCAAAGTAACAGCATTTATCACAGCAAGAAACTGTAAAAAATGGGAAAAATTGTTGGATTTTCGCCTTTCCAACAGTACTTGGATGAATCATGTGTGACAAAGAGTTCAGTCAGGAAAAATAGCCAAATCTAAGCTTAAAATTGTGATATTTCATCAATCAAGTTATCCTCGCCAAAATAAAATATTTGAATGAACCAGATTTTGTAAAAAAACATAAAATGCTGCTCTCCTTGGTGCATCCACAAACATGTTGGTGGCTCAGATGGTAAGGAAAATAAAATATCTGACGATAAAATAGGAGATTAAAACGATCTCCGGCGAACAGCAGCCAACTGTAGAAAGCAGGCCGTGCTGCTACGGCTACTGCAAGCTGCTACAAAATGCGGCGTTTAACAGTTTTCCGCCCTCGGGCTCGGCACTGCCTGTTCTCTGGGCTTTTGCTGACAAACGACTAACTGGGGCAATTACAATAATATACACCTTTCCTGGCTGCTGTGAGAAATGAGCGCAGGTACATGCACTGACACATTATCCACCTTCCATCCGTCTTTACCTTCGATATCGCATTTGTCTTCGGAATCGGTGGCTGTTTTTTTTTTTTTTTCCTTCCCCCCCTCCCCGGCCCGACCGTGTTTACACTCTGGTACATGAAAGGGGGGTCAGCGCGGCGAATCTATCAGCAAAACCTGACAAGCACAGCTGATATACTGGAGGCATCCATCAGGAGCTTCACACGCACGACACGCAGAGATGTGTGTCATTTACGCAACCTGACGTAGGAGACAATAGGCGCAGGTGTCCCGCTTAAGGCCCCGTAATTATGAAGGTGGGAGTTTCGGCGTTGCGAGTGAGGGCTGCTGATTGGAAATGAATTAGCCTGTGTGTCAGAGGGGAAGGAATCTGGGCAGAAATGGGCAGTGTGAGCAGTCCAAGCTCCTCAGTCAAATAAAAGGGAGAGGGGAGGCCAAATGAGATTACAGGCAATAGAAAAGGGCCGGGGGGCTCCGCTCAACCCCTACTGTGCATGAAGACCAGTGCGCGCCTCACACAGTCCAGCTCCCACGGACGCCCCATTCACACGCCCTTTTGACTCTGTCATGAAAACAGGCTGAAAGGGGATCTCTCCCAACCTAGCCCGGGTGTTGCACTTCGGGATAGGCGAAAGCGACGGGAAGGGAAGGACGGAAGAAGAAGAAGAAGAAGAGTTGTGTCACTTTGCGAGTGATGAATGGAAAGTTAAGGGGGACGCGACCAACCACCAGCACCGGAGCCACCTTAAGTTGGCCGTTCCCGGTGGATGCCTTGGAGGAAGTGGGGGGTTGAGGTGCTGTGGCGAGCTGTGGTGGTGGTGGTGGTGGTGTATGGGATTTCAGCTCAGGGTGGAGGAGGTGGCGGGCGGCGGCGGCGGTGGCGGTGGCGGCGGTGGTGGTGGAGGGGAGTTAGGGAGTTTAGGGAATGCCAGCTCCGGGCAGAGCGGGGCTGTGGGGGCGCGAGTCGCTGGGCCCTTTGTGTGGATAATACAGTGTGACACAAGGGAAACAAAGGCGGATTGATGGGCCCAGCAGGTAGCAGGAGCAGCGCTAGCCTTGGCTAACAGCCAGAGCTCCAGGGGCCCAGGGCTCACAGGCCCCTGTTTTGGAGGGCCCGGCTAAGGCTTGCCAGGGCAGGCAGGGATGCCCAACCTGAGGACGGCGTGTCATCCAATCATGTAAGGGTTCACTGCGGATTTAGACGAAACTGTTTCCTTCTAATAGGAATAAACAGAGAAAATACATTTAAAGGCACATGTAGGTAGAGTTTAGTTGATTAGATTTAACCCTCTGAACCCCAAAACTCACCAACGGATTTAAAAAGTTAGCTATCATTAAAAAAAAAGAATTAAAAAATGGTCAAAATTACAAGATTTATCAGATGCAGAAACTGTAGAAGAAGAAAAATTGTTGAATTTTTAACTTTTCAAAAGTTCTTGAGCAAAATAAGCATCACAAAAAAGTTCCATCAGGAAAAACAGCAATTCGAGCAATTTACTCAACATGTCTGATTTAAATAATTTGCCAAAAATAATTACTCTAAACTAACCAGATTCTGCAAAAACACAAAAATTCTGCAGTCTTTTGTGCATCCAAGAAATCTTTGATGGTGCAGCTGAGACCAACAGTCAAGCAGCAAAAATTCAAGGCTGAACAGCACGTAATCTGATAGAAGATAAGCACAGTAACCATTTTTTCCAGGACCGATAACACCTGTAGGCATTTGGAAAAATGTTCATTAGAGGAATTGAGAGGCAAATGAAACGTACTTAATCAATAAAACAAAGGTGGCATGGCTCAGAAATGGTGTACAGAGAAACAAGTTGTTGGACGATACATGTAGCACGGGGAAACATCTTTCTAGAGTTCATGTGCAGGGTCGTGTGAAAACAGCGCAAAAATATTAATAGTAAAATATCTATCGCATGTAGAGCCACCATTTTTTCTTTTTAAAATTTCATTTATGACAAAATAACTTTGTCGTAGTGCACCACATGCATTTCTGAGTTTCCTCTCCTTCTATTCATGGTTGTGCTGTTTCCATAGAGGTGCAGACGTTTATATTACAGTGAAAAAATGAACCCACGAGTGAGTCAAAATGTGAGCAAAAAAAATAAAAAATTCAACACCTTGAAACTTTTCAGGGTTCAGAGGGTTAATTGCATACATGTAAAATAACAGATTATGGTTTCTCTGATTGTTTAAAAATCAATACACATAGATGTGTTTCAGTGTTTGCATTACGTTTTCTGTACAAAGGCCCTCATGAGATAATCCACCTGATCTTTCACCTTGTCACTTATTCGCCCACGTTCTCTAAGAAAACGAGCTTCGGCGACAAACACGGACCCTCGCGGCATCGTATTCGCACTACAGGCTAAAAACCACCCGACATAAAGAGGGCATTTTTGTTTTGTAACGTTGCTCGCCGTCACAATCGAGGGTGGGAAAATGTGGCTCGCCTCCAGCCAAACATTAGCAAACTGTGTCTGTGGCTTGTAAAGTGGTCTGATTGGGTCTCTGGCAGTGGACTCGCCGAGGAATTTCTGGGGTTTTGCAGCCTGTGGTCCACGAAAATTTGGGTTTAATTCTCCGTTGCGTGTTCGTACAAATTTCAAAACTCGGACCACAGGGGAACGTCGCCCTACATGCATGCGTGCGCCTTTTTTTTTTTTTTGCACGTCTGTAGCTGGTGGAGGTTGAGCCACGGTAAGTGTGCTGTGATTGTGAAACAATGGTGTCTGGTTACATAATAAGCTGTTGCCTTCAAAGGAGGCGTAACTCCATCCCTCAGCGTAAAGAAGAAAAAAAAAAAGGGAGAAACAGGGCCGACACACTGCTAGGTTTCACCAGAGGGCCAGAGGGGTATGGAGGCGGAGGGGGGGTGACAACATTCCTGAAACACTATCCAGATGCAAAGCAGCGCACCTCAGGGATGACAGGAGGTCAGCAAGATCCCACTGAGCCACAATGGGCTGATGTCACTGCAGGGACTCTGCTGCTCCGTCTGCTTCCTTGTCGCTGATGCTGCTGGTCATCCGCTAAATGCTGCTGCAGCACAGATGGGAGGGCAGCTTTCTTTGCGTTTTTGTAGTAAATACGGCCTCTCGGAGATGAAATGTTGCGTTAAAAGCTCATCGCCTGGAGGTACGACTTTCAGTACGTCTGTCTGGATGTTGGCAACAGTGACAATCACGTCATCCAACCGATATTTGGCATTTTTCCCCCATTGTCGGTATTTTTACTGACTGATTATTGATAAATTGAATACTTCAGGTCTGATGCTGCCTCACATCTCACGTCTATTGTCTCAGAAATGCAGCGACTGCAAAAACGGAACAAGAAACACAAGCAACAAACCAGGAAGTTCGCTGCTCTCTCAGTGGCTCAGGCTACGCTAACGGCTAACTTAGCAGGTAGCCACAGATTAACCTGGAAAAGAATAAATAATAAAGCTTTACCGTAGTGAGGGGAAAAAAGTGAAAGATTTAGAAAACAGAGAACAGCAAAGTCAGTCGATC